TCCTTGTGAACTTCTTGGACTGGAGGGAGCTTCAGTTGCTGATCCAGTGTGGGGTGACTCACCAGGGCATAAATGGGCGTTTGCAGCTTCTGTCTTGAAGCTCAACCTTCATGACAACCCAGACGTGCTTTGGGTGGGCAATGCCCTTCTTTGGGGGAATGGATTGGTGGTGTCAATTCAGATTCCGCTGATTTACGTGCGGTTTCTACAGCCCACGGCTGAAGACTCTGGATGGGTTCCAGTGCTGTAAAGCTGCAAGACGCCCACACCCAGGCAACGTGCGGTCTCTAAATGCCTCCGTCAAGAGGAGCAGACAGGACGGTGCGTGTCTGCATAGCAAATGTATTGGTGTGACGGGCTCAGATGGGCTCGGGTTTAACCCTGGTTAATTTTTTTATAGCTTGGCATGTTGCACAGACCCACTCTATTGGTTTGTTATCTTTCATTACGTTATGTTGTAATCTAACCTTGTGGTTCAGGGGCATCTACGGTGGGGAGGAGTGGGGTCGGAAGGATCAAGAAAGCAGACCCAGCCACACGCTCAAAGCCTTGCCTCCTTTCTCAGGGGCATCGTGCAGGCAAAACCCTTGAACTCAGGTCTTCCTGATCCCAATCCAACCCTTAAATCAGGGTTCCTCAACCTCAGCAACTTTAAGATGGGTGGACCTCAACTCCCAGGATTCCCCAGCCAGCATGGCTGGCTGGGGAATCCTGGGAGTTGAAGTCCACCCATCTTAAAGTTGCTGAGGTTGAGGAACCCTACCTTAAATTTCCACTCCTTTGAGTCTACAGACATGGGCCGCTGGAAAGCCACATGTTGCCTCCTGCCTTTTCTTCTGTTGCTGCCTTGGAAACCCCTCAGGGCAGGGACCAGCCCCTGGCACCATGCATGTTGGGGGTTTTGCTCTGGCACAGAATCACGCCATGGACCCAAGCAGGCCCGGGAGGGGAGGGGTCATCCTTGCTTCCAAGAAGCTCCATGGGAAACTCCTCCTTTGCGGACCAAACCAGGCATGGCCTCTACTACTACAAAGTTACCCGCTCTGGCATGGCTGAGGCTCTCCACTCTGAGATACCAGCCCACATCATAATTTTATTTCATCCCACTTCTATTCAGGCAGCGTGCCTGCTGTAGTGGGGGACGTGCTGGACTAGGAGCAGGGAGACCGAGTTCAAATCTGCTGGGCTCAGGGCCAGTCCTTCCCTCTCAGCTCCAGAGCCTGGGTGGGGGAGTGGGGAGACCAGGTTCCAGTTCCCCTTCAGGTCAGGAGCTCCCTGGGGGATTTGGGGCCAGCTCCTCGCTCTCTGCCCAATCCACCTCACAGGGAAGTTGTTGTGGAGAATAAGATGGAGGAGGGAGTACTATGGAGGCTCCCTTGAGCAACGGAATCAAAGGGGGAACAGAATTCTAACAAACAAAACAAATAAATAAATACACATAATGGATAAATAGCCGCATGACACTTATTTATCAGCTGTTCCAACCAACCTACCTGCAAAGATCAGAATCGTACAAGCCATGGGATTCCCTGTGACCCTCTATGGAAGCAATAGTTGGACTTTAGAAGGAAGAGAGGAACAGTATTGGCACTTTTGAACTTTGGTGTTGGAGAAGACTCCTGTGAAGTCTTCATGGGCAGCCAGGAAAACAAACCCATGGATCGTCAAATAGATCAACCCGCAGTTCTCGCTCGAGGCACAAATGACCAGACTCAAATTATCCTACTTTGGCACATGATGTGAAGACCCAGCTCTCTGGAGGAGGCTCTAAAGCTGGAAAGGAAAGAGAAGAAGAGGACGGCCAGCAGCAAGGGGGATGGACTCAGTCACAGTGGCGATGGGGGCATTGTTGGAAGAGCTGAAGGACCACATTAGGGACAGAGCATCAGGGAAACAATCTATCTCCGTGGTCCCTAACAGATGACAACAACTTGATGGCACATAATAAATCAGGCAGGGTTGTTGTTGTAGGGAACCTTTGTACATAGATCTATATAAATCTAGGTGTGTATAGGTAGGAAGGGTACATTCGTTGGAGAACCACAGTGGTGAGGGAAAACCCAGGTCTCCTTCAGCCACAGAAGCTCTTGGGATCTGAGAAATCTGAGTTATTGCCTCCAGAAGAAGGCTGTGTTTCATCTGGGACCCCAACCTTGTGCAGTTGCAGAGAATATTAAAAATCCTTCTGGACTGGCTAGCATCGCACACTGCCATCTCTGGCAAGGCACCATTCTGCCATGGCACCTCCTCCCAACAGCCCTACACATGCTTTCTTCTAAGCTCCTGATAGAAAAGACAGGAAGCCATGGAGACTGCCCAGGAATGCCAAACAGACCAGGGGCCAAACTGCTGCTTGACCTTTTTAATGTGACGCTATTTGCTTGTAGCTGTGACCCTGTGCCAGTCCTGGAGCTTTTCATCTGCACGACGTACTTGAACACACAGTAAGCTTCCGATGTTTTTGCAAGGCTTGCTTGACCCTCCTAGGTTTCCAAGAGCAACATCTCCTGAGCTTGGGAACTCTCCAAGGTCCTGCAAATCTTATTTTCCCCACTCTTTGGGGAAGGTCTGTCCTTAACATTGGATACAGATAGTCCCTGGGTTAAGAACACCCAGTTTAAGGATGACCCCTAGTTAAGAACGGAGCCTATTATAGCAAAATTCAAGTTAAATATACAATGGTTCAAGTTAATTACACAATGCTACTTATACAGTGTTACACAGTCCTACTGTTCCAGCTTGCATACAAATTCAACTTAAGGACAGACCTTGGGAACGGAACTCATTCTTAACCTGGGGACTACCTGTATTTCCTAGATAACATCAAATTCCAGCTGGGCCCCATCCAAGGACTTCCTGCCTTGGCACGGATTCTCAGCCTAACTGGTACAGGTCAGGGCATTCCACCAGTGCAAGCATGCTAAATATATGCGTGTATATATCCTAGAATCAAAAAGTTGGAAGGAACCTTTATATGCAGGCATGCTGCATACAAGATCTGGAAGCATAAAACTAGCCTTCTTTGCAGGGTGCACCCCAGCTTTTTGCTTGGTCACCCTGTTTATTGATTCCTTTGTTCTCAAATGGCTTTGTTTTCCTCCTCAGCGAACACACGGAGAGACAGACGCGCATTTTAGGGCTATGGCATCAAAAGTCCAGATCAAAGCTTAGCCTGCTCACGACACTCCGCCAAGTGCTAAAGTGGGGCAGGCCCCAGAGGAAAATGTACTGGAGAGGAACAGCTAGCCAGCCCCACCTCATTTGCAAGTGCTGTTTTGAGTTAAGAAGTGTGAAGTAATGCCTGGGCAGAGAAAAGACGGTGCTCAAGTGCCAAGGGTTTGACTCATAATCAACACATATGGCGTGATGCACTCAGAGACCAGAAATGTCTACCTTCACTGCCTCTGTTTATTGCTGTGATTAAATCTGCCTCCCAGGCAGATTTGCAGAAAGCTTTTAATACTCTCTCCCTAGCTCTTACAGGTTTAGTGGCCCAGTGAAATGGAGAACCTGTTAAGCATCTGCCACAGTCTCTGAGCTCCGTTGTGATTAAGTTCGCTGCCTTTTTTCTAGGACGGGTTGCCATTTTTTCCGGACTGCGGGATGGCCGTGAAATTTTGGTGTCTTGAAGAAGCTTGAGTTGGCATTATTTACAAAAGGTCCGGGGAGGGCGACGGATGGGTGACTTTAAGGGGTTAAGGCAAGTGATAACTGCAGCTGAAATCCAGGTAGAAGTTCCTTGCTTTTGCCTAGAATAAGCACAGAAGGGATCAATTGGTGAAAATGCTAGGGTCGCTGAGTTCAGTTTTTCTGATGGCAGAAAACCTGTTCTGGGGGAAGACGGAATAGCAACAGGAGATCCCCAGGGCTCTGCAATGCAAGGATCCCCAAGTTTGCATCTCACCGTTTCTTGATTGCATGCAAACGACACATCTGTCTGTAGAGGAACCCAACCTTTTATTTTCCAAGCAACACCATATATTTTTGCAATACAGAAAAGCCACCCTTCGAAACTGCAGCCCGTTTACTTACAAACACCTGCTACGTGCAGTGAAGGAAAATGTGCTCTGGTTAATCTACCACTGGATCCCCTGCAAGGCTGCCAGGCAGATGTTGCCATCCCAGAATCTTTTACAGGATCGCAAGGACTGCTGGAAGACGACTGGTCCTACTTCCATGATCTCACTTGGGGTGCAATGCTTTCCCCCCAACAATCCTTCTCTCCCCTCAGCTTCAGATGGAGTCTGAAAAGCCTGCCGGCCTGTTTCTTCTTCATTCTCCCACTTCCTGCCGCTTGGCTCACTCCCTCTGGACAGTCCAATGGCTAATCACCTCACACGTTTGGGTTGATGCAGGAATGCAGGTCTTTGGGGCCTAGGGACATCGTCTGGAGCAGGTTTGTTCCTCTACTGCAGTGTTTCTCATCCTTGGCAGTTTTAGGATGTGTGGACTTCAACTCCCAGAATTCCCCACCCAGCAAGAAATGCGCACTGGTCTAGCCCCTTGATCCCACCAGGGGAGGTGGAGAAGACATGGAGACAGCCTCCTTTTCAAACCAGGTCTGCCCCATTTCTTATTCTGTTCTCCTCCCCAGATCACCTGGAAGGAACCAGTGAGAGCAGAGCAGGGGAGGAGGCAGCCAGGGTCGCAAAGGGAGGGAGGAGAGGAGGAGGAGGAGGAATAGAAGAAGGAAGAGGAGGAGGAGGAGGAGGAGGAGG